GCGCCACGGATTCCAGCCCTCTATCACCCCAGATGCATTTTCCTTCTTCTCGGGGTTCCTATCAATGGAATCACAGGGCACTTTTTTGTGGTGGGTCTGGCTGCAAAGCCTTCCAGATTCATCCACGTGGCTGTGCATTCTTTTTTTTTTGTTGTTTTTTTTGGGTCCGGTTGTGGGGCCTGAACTCTGGGCCTGGGCACTGTCCCTCAACTCTTCAGCTCAAGGCTAGCGCTCTACCACTTGGGCCACAGTGCCACTTCCGGCTTTTTTCTTTTTGCTTATGTGGTGCTGAGGAATCAAACCCAGGGCCTCATGCATGCAAGGCAAGCGCTCTAACCAATGAGCCACCTTCCCAGCCCTGTGTATTCTTTTTTATTGCAGAGTAGCATTTAATTATGTGATGACATACAACTCAGTGGTAGTGACAGGTTTGGGGTTCTGTGTGTGTGTGTCTTGGCACTCATGGCCTCACACTCACTAGGCAGGTGTCATACCATGTGGGCCTGCTCGCAGCCCTTTTAATGCTCTATTCTGCATGTAGGATCTCATCTTTCTCAAGGGCCAGGGTGGCATCTTGATCCTGTCACCTGTTACCTCCCCGTAGCTGGAATCACTGGTGTTCACCACCATCCAGCTTTTGACTAAGCCTTTTCTTGAACTCAGGGCCTGGGTGCTGTCCCTGAGCCTCTTTGTGCTCAAGAATAGCATTCTCCCACTTGGGTTAGAGCGCCACTTCTGTTTTTCTGGTAGTTAACTGGAGATAGTCTCATGGACTTTCTTGTCTGGGCTGGCTTTAAACCGTGATCCTCAGATCTCAGCCTCTTAAGTAGCTAGGATGACAGGCATGAGCCACCAGTGCTCCGGCAGACTGAGCTATTCTTTTTCTTTCTTTTTTTATTTTTTGGTTGGTCATGGGGCCTGAACTCTGGGCCTGGGCGCTGCCCTACCACTTGAGCCACAGCGCCACTCCCAGCTTTTTCTGCTTGTGTGGTGCTGAGGAATCAAACCCAGGGTCTCATGCAGGCAAGGCAAGCACTCTACCACTGAGCCACCTTCCCAGCCTGAGAATTATATTTTTAATAAATGAGACAGCAGGGTATAGATACACAAAAGAATTAAGTAAACCTGGCACCAGTGGCTCATGCCTGTCATCCTAGCTACTCAGGAGGCTGAGATCTGAGGATCACAGTTCAAAGCCAGCCTGGGCAGGAAAGTCCATGAAACTCTTATCTCCAGTAAATCATCAGAAAACCGGAAGTGGCGCTGTGGCTCAAGTGGTAGAGCGCTAGCCTTGAGCTGAAGAGCTGAGGGACAGTGCCCAGGCCCAGGGTTCAAGCCCTACGACTGACAAAGTTAAAATGGACCAGAGATGTAAGACTGTAGAACTCTGTGTGTCTTTCTTGATAGTACTGACCCCTGACACCAGTGATGCAGGTGCTCTACTATTTGAGCCATGCACCCTCGCCCATTATGTTTTATTTTTCAGAGAGGGTCGGACATTTTTGCCTGGACTGCCCTCAAACCTTGATCCTTCTATCTTCACCTCCCAAGTAGCTGAAATTACAGGTGTAAGCCACTGTACCCAGCCTATAAGCACTTTCATAGCTGGTTATGCTAGCACATGCCTATCACCCCAGCCACTCCGTCGTCAGAGGCAGGACTGTGAGAGAGGCCACCCTGGGCAGAACCGTCGAGATGCTCTTGCAAATCCAAAATAGAAGTCAAAGAACTAGGAGTGTAGCTCAAATGGCAGAGCGATTCTGAGGAAACACAAGCTCTGGGTTCACACCACAGAGCTAGAAAAATGAAAACCGCAAATCACCCGTCTGACAAAGTCCTAATAGCCAGAAAGCTGCAGACTCCCACCCAGCTGCACAGGCCAAGATTCTAAACAGACTTCGCTCTGGGAAGCACGCAGGAGGCTTGCTTCGGGGGGGTGGGGGGGGAGGGAGGGAGAACCACGGAGCGGCGCTCACAGTGGCAGGCAGGTCCCGCAAAAGGCAGAAAGGCTGCGCCTCAAAAACTAAAAGGGCTGAGCGGGCGGCTCAGGCAGCAGAGGTCCCCCACGTGTGGAGCGTTGGGTTAAATCTCTAGTCCCATGGGAAAAGCAAACCCCTCCCCCTCCCCCCCCCCCCCCCGCCACGTTGCTAGGCTGGGCGTGGACACATAACTGCAATCCCCACACCCAGGGGCCGAGGCTCCAGGGTCCTAAGTTCAATGTCAGCCTGACCTGCATGAGACCCCATCTCAAAAAATACCAAACCTAACCCAACAATAAGAGCCACAGTGACATGCCACGCCCAGCTACTACATGGCACAATGACAGCCATGACGTGCTGAGCGGGACGTGGGGATGGGAAGCGACAGAACTTCCACCTCGCATGAGGAAAACACTCCAGATGACCGAGCAATTGTTCTGTGTAGACAGAGAAGTGGAAATGCATGTCCACCTCCGTCCACGTCCACATATCCACGTCCACTTCCACCACGTCCACCTGAGTCCACACATCCGCACGCCCACGTCCACCTCCAACCACGCCCTCGTGTCCACATCCACACATCCACCTCAGTCATGTCCACACGCCTACACTCACCTCCAGTCATGTGCACGTTCACGCTTTCCTCCAGACTCGCGCATATGTCTATGTCAGCATCTTCCACAGTAACCAGATGGGAAGCACCCCTGCCCACCAGGCTGGTGAATGTACACACACATGGTGTGCACAGGAGTGTTACTGGGCCATTAGCAGCACTGGTAGATTGGACCACACATCGAGTCTGGGGACGGAACGCGTCCGTGAGCCCTGAGCATTGCTGAGGGCTGGAAGGGTGTGGGATGGGGAACGTGCTGGAGAGGCAGGGGGCTTCCTGAGACGGCGAGGGTTCTGAACTCGCTGGTCACACGGACACACACCTGTGGTCCTAGCTACTCAGGAGCAGAGACCAGGATTGCAGCTCAAGGCTAGCCTGGAACAAAGCCAGAGTTCTTGGGCTGGGAAGGTGGCTCTGTGGTAGAACGCTTGCCTTGAATGAGGCCCTGGATTCGATTCTTCAGTACCACATAAGCAGAAAAGCCAGAAGTAGCGCTGTGGCTCAAGTGGTAGGGGGTTAGCCTTGAGCTGAAGAGCTGAGGGACAGCGCCCAGGCCCAGAGTTCAGGCTTATGACCGAAAAAGAAAAGAAAAAAGGTAGAGTTCTCCACTCAAAGACAAGCGGGCCAAGGCGGCTCACGCCCACTCCCCACTGGAGGTGCCTGGACGGCCAGACCTGGGCAGACACCAGCTGGAAGAATAGAGCGCAAAAAGGGCTGGAAACGTGGCTTCAGCGGGACAGTGCCTGCAAGCATAAGCCCCTCGCTCAGCAAGAACCACACAGAGGCCTGAGGCCGGCTCTGGCACTGCGCGCGGCTGCCCGGGGCCTGCCCCGCGGCCGCTGCCACCAACCACCTGAGCTTCCCTGGCCGCTGCCCGCCCTGCGCCAGCCAGGCGTTCGGGGAGCCCGGCTCGGGCGCGGCCGAGGGGGCGTCCCGGGGCTCCCAGGTGTGACAGGGCACTGGACGACACGCCGGCACCCAGCACGCGGCCCCGTCCTCCGTGGACACCACGGGTGTCTCAGGGCCTCAGGATGGAGGGCTGAGGGGCGGCAGGGAACACAGTCCTTGTCCTCCAGTCGGGGGAGACTTGAAGGGCACAAGGTGTGGCAGGGTTTGGGGTCCCCCAGTGCTACCCAGACCCACACCAGGGCTGCTGTGTCCTGGAAGCCCCAGGTAGCCATGACAGCGCCCTTTCCTAGGGGCCGGCTGGCTGGGGCCCCCACCCCTCCTAGAAGCCCTTCCGGGGCTGAGGCAAACTTGGCCTGCGCTGCGGGCCGGGCTTGTGTCCAGCTGAGCACCAGGGCAGCACGAGTGTTGGGGTTGCAGTCTTGCCAGGGGCGGAGCCAGCGGTGACCACCCCGGGGCCTGCGCGGCCCTCGAGTGGCTCAGTCAGCGTGGGCCTGTGCCGGCCAATGCCCCTGAACAGCCTGGCCGTGTGGCCAGCAGACAGCCAGGCAGAGTGCCCCTGGGGTTCGGCCACCCTTGCCCAGCCCCAAACGCCGCAGCGTGCCGGGGCACCCGCTCCACACCGCACCACGGCGGCTGCGCTCCCACCCACCGGCCTGCCCAGGCCCTGCGAGGCTCCCCGGGCCGTCCGAGTGGCTGTCCCCCTGAGCAGTGGCCCCCATGGGCACCGCCCTGCAGTTCCACCCAGTGCAGGACTGGGCTGCGCTGGATGAGCTGCGGGGACCACGCCAGGCCCTTGTCCACCAGGGCGCAAGGAACCAGGACGAGCTCGGGACAGCACCAGGCACTGCTGACAGGCAGGAAGGCCGGGCCCTGTGCCCGGCTCTGGGGCGCCAGGGCAGAGCCGCTCGGTTGGGGACATGGCTGTCCCTCGGCCTGAGTGAGGGTGCCTCCCTTCTCGGCTTGTAGCCCCATCTGGCTAGGGTCGGACGCGATGGGGAGTGCCTTGCTTGGGGCTGAGCCCCCCTCTCTGGGGAACAGCTCCTAGCTGCCCACCTCCACCAGGGACCGTGAGGCCAGGTCCAGGCCTGGTGGGGGGGGGGGGGAGGGAGGCAGGGGGGGAGGAACTGATGCTAAGGTCTCAGTGGCTGCTGGAGGTGCACGGTGATGTCCCAGCTCCTGGAGGCCGGCAGTGCCCCGTGCCCCCTGGCATGAGCCACACTCAGGCCTGGCACTTTGCAGCCCTGCCTGCCAGCCACCCATTCTGCCTGAATTAGGATGGCACAGGTGTGGGCACAGGTGACCTGAAGGGCCCAGGGCTGCGGGGGCCGCAGCTCCACCCCTCCCACCCCTCCCAGGTGTGGCGCCTGAGCCTGGCCGCTCCCCCCCGCCCCCCCCCGCCCGTGTGGCGGCCCAGGGCCCTGTCTCGGCAGGGCAGCCCCCCGCCCCCCTTCCCCCCCCCCCCCCCCACCCCGTGCTGAGGCACCATCGGTGAGGCAGCAGACCGTGCAGGGCCAACTTTAATACAGGGGCCGGCCTGCGTGGGGTGGGGGAAGGGGTGCCCTGCTTCTGGCAGGCCCCCAAAAGTGCGTGAGGCCTGGGAGCCTCTGCTGCTCACAGGCCTGTGAGGGCCGGCCGGAGGAGTCCCGTCCAGGCGCTGGGCCACTGTCCTGGCCGGGGCCCAGCAGCCGCCGCGGGGCTCGGGGGCTCCGGGAGTGGGAGCCGGTCCCGCACTGCGCGTGGGCCATCCTTCCTCTGGGTGGCGCGAGTCCTGCATGCGGCAGGGTCGGCCTTGGGAGGTGGGGGCCGAGAGCCCGGGAAGCCCGGGAACCGCTCTCCGCGCCTCCGTGTCCAGCCTGCGGGGACGCGGAGGACGTCAGGACACCGAGGAAGCTGGGCGCCTTCGGCCGCCAGCTCTGTGAGCAGCAAAGACCGCAGAGGAAGCGAAGGCCCAGGCCCCACGGCATCCTTCCCTACGGAAGAGCCTGAGCCGCGTGTGAGCCATGCGGGCTGGGCCCGGAGCGCGGGGCGGGGACGCTGGGCCGTGGAGGCCGAGGGACCGGCCGCCATGGAGCGGTCTGGACCTGTCGCTGCCCGAAGCAGCCCGCCCGAGCCCTCAGGGTCACCGCGCGGCCAAGCCCCCTGGGCAGGCCTCAAACCCTGCGAGTGCAGCAAAAAGTCCCGCTATGAGGCGGCCACCAGTTCTGGCTGCTTGGACTTGGCGCGGACAGACACTTTCTCTGTGGAGGAAGGAGAACAGTGATACACAAGGCCCCCGCCGCTCCCCCCACGCGCCCATGCTGGGGCTTGCTCCAGGAGCAAGCATGGAAATTATGGTGAGGGAATGGAGGCCGGGCGGAGGCCCGCGGCAGAGGCCGGTGGCGGGGTCCAGTCCTGGCCGGGCCCCCGTTAGCGCGTGGAGCGGGCGGGCCCTGGCGAGCTGCGTGTTGTGAGCAGCTCGGCTCTCACCATGTGACCCCCGCCCCCGGCTGGGCCTGGCAAGGTGTGAACGCTGCACGTAAGGCCACGTAAGGCCGTGGCCCAGCCCAACCCACCCCGGAGCCTTCGGGCCTGATCCTCCCCATCCAGGAAGCTTGTGTGGCCCCAACGCTCAAAAAGACGTGGCCCCGAGGTACCTGGGTTTATTTCTGGAAGGGGCTCCGAGGGAATGTCCGGCAGCTCTATTTGTTCCTACAAGAAGCAAAAGGAAGGCAGTAGGGCCAGCCCCGCCTCCTCCCCAGCCTGGCTCCGAGAGGCAGGGGGCGGTCCTCCTGCTCCAGCCCGCAGACTCGTGCCCACACGCCATGGCAGCACCGGGGGAGGGGGGGCCCTCTGCCACCCTGTGCCCCTCGTCTCCCGGCTGGCCGGCCGGCCTGCCTGCCTGCCTGCGGGCTCCTGGGCCGCACAGACCGGAGGTCACACACCTCAAAGCACCGTTCCCCGCCAGGCCCAAAGGCCTGGGTCCTCAGGTGGCTCCGGGCCGCATGCGCGGGCCATAGGGGCAGCGCAGAGGCCTGATGCGCGCCAGAGACAGCAGACAGCGGGGAGGGAGGCAAGGAAGCGCAGGACTGGCAGGCAAGGCAGGAAAGCTGGGTAGTGGGCGGGCAGACCCGGGCCCCACTGCTGCCAGGCCCCGGGACGGGGGAGGGCGCCCACACCTGCGCCTCCCCTGGCTTCTCTAGCTGCCAGCCCAGGCCAAGTCACTCTAGGGAGGTCCTCAGGTGCAAAAGCAGACTCTGGGCTGGAGTAAAACGTGTGGACACAGTGCAGGCGGAGGCCGGCCGGGAGGTCTGGCACCGTGACTGCGCTGTGTCCGGTCCGGGGCACGGTACCTGAGTGATGGCGTCCAGCTCCTCCAGGATGGCGTCCTCGTCCTCCTGCGTGAAGCTCCCCGCCAGCAGCTCGTCGATTTGCTGCACAGAGGAGCCGGGGGAAGGCCTGTCACGTCGGGCCCAGGGGAGGGGGCAGCCACGCCGGCAGCGAGGGGCTGGCAGGTGGGGGCCTGCCGCAGCCATACCTACCCGCTGGTACTCCACAGCCTCCTGGGTCTCGTCCAGGATCCGCTCCACTTCCTCTATGGACATCACCTGCGAGGACGAGGCGTGGAAGCCGTGAGTCAAAGGGCAGGCTCCCCGCCAGGACTGCACGGCCCGGCCCTTCCTGCCTCAGTGATGCCAGGCACAAGACACAGCGTGTGTCTCTTTCGCTCGGCGAGGCCTGCCCCGCGCAGGCGCTGGCTGCCAGACCTCCCGTGCCCAAGACAACCCTGACAGCCACGCGCAGACAGCAGCAGTGGAGATCTTCCTCAGCTCCGGGTTCCACACAGCGCCTCCATTCTCGAGTGCCCACGCAGCCCCCCCCCGCCCCCCGCTCCCTGGCCAGTTCAGGGGCGCGGGCCTCACCCTCCTCCACCCACATCTCTCACTGCCCCAGCCGTGCCTTTCCCTCCCTGAGCCACCTCCTGGGCTGGGCCAAATGCACGCCATGCCTGGTGCGAGCTCCTGGCGAGCACCTTGGGCCCTGCACGCGCCCACCGGCCCGCTGCGGAAGGGGTGCCCGGTGCTGGCAGGACCCACCTGGTGCATCTTGTTGAGACACTCATTCCCCACCTGCAGGCCCTCCATCACCTTCATCTCGATCTGCGTGAACTCGATGCTCTGCACCTGAGGGGAGGGGAGGGGCTGCGGTCTCTGCCGGCCACAGGGCAGAGGGCCGTGCATCTTGCTGAGGGCCGCTGGCACCCCTGCCCGCCACCCTTGGGGGCTGGAGGGCTGAGGGGCTGCCAGCAGACACAGCAGCGTGAGCCATCGGGCAGGGAGCCCAGCCCCAGGGATGCTGGCCTCTGACCTGCCCCCATGACCCAGGGGCCGCCAGTCCTTGGCCCTCCCTCCCTCCTGCCAGAGCCAACCTGCCCAACCCCTGGAGGCTCGGCGCTCCTGGCTGAGGCCCGGTCTGCCTACCATAGCCTCCAGGCTGCTGATCTGGTTCTCCGCCCGGTCCAGGAGCTGCTCCCGGTACCGCTTCTTCTTGAGCAGCAGCTTGGCCCGTCTGCAGGGGAGGCCGGAGGTGATGGGGTGCCCTCCCGGAACAGCCCGCCCCAGGGAGGCCCGCGTCCCCGCCCCACTCACTCCTTCCGGCCATCCCTCAGCAGCTGCCGCGCCAGGGCCCGCTCCCTCTCCAGCTGCTGCGTGACCCTCTTCTGGTACTGCCGCAGCTTGTCACGCTGCTGCTTCAGTTGCTGCCGAGAGCGAGAGCGGCTGTCGGCGCCCGCACCGGCCCTGGCCAGGCGAGGGGCGTATCAGGCTGCCAGGGCCGGAGCTGCTCCCCAGGAGACTAGCGCAACCTCGGGAAATGTTTCCTCACTGGAAATGTTTCCGCTCCCCATAGGGGCCCATGGGGTGGGGGTGGGGGGACCCTGGCTGTAGACAGTGACACTGAGGGCAGGTGAGTGTGGTCGCACACCGAGAGCACGCAGCTCACCAGCCCGTGCTACCTCCCCTCCTGAACCCCCTTTTCATTTAGGTTGGGGCCTCAATGGTTGAGCCAGCCTCAAACTTGCGATCCTCTTGCCTCTGTCTCCCCCGCACTAGGACTGGGGAGAGGGCTGCCACAGCCACTGCCTCAGGGTTTCAACGTGGGCTTCGCTTCCCGCCTCCAGCCCTCTGCCCAGACGGACCAGATGGCCGCTCGGGGTGGCAGGACCCTCCGTCAACCTCCCAACCCCGTGCTGCCCAGAAACGAGGTGCAGGCCACATTTCCAACCGTGGCCACGCCTCCCGGCTTAGGCCACTTCCCTCCGGCCGAAACGTGGTCACTCCTGATGCTGCTGGGAGGAGCCGGGGCGCACAGGGTGCGCGGGGCTCATGGGACACGCGGGGCTCGTGGGGTGCACGGGGCTCGCGGGGCGCGCGGTGCTCACCGGGCGCGCGAGGCACAGGGGGCTCACGGGGCGCGCGGGGCACGGGGCTCGCGGGGCACAGGGGGCGCGCGGGGCAGAGGGGGCACACGGGGCGCGCGGGGCACAGGGGGCTCACGGGGCACGCGGGGCTCACGGGGTGCGCAGGGCACAGGGGGCTCACGGGGCACACGGAGTACACGGGGCACAGGGGGCTCACGGGGCGCGTGGGGTACACAGGGCGCGCGGGGCACAGGGGGCTCACGGGGCACAGGGGGCTCACGGGGCGCTCGGGGCTCACGGGGCGCGCGGGACTCACGGGGCACAGGGGGCTCACGGGGCGCTCGGGGCTCACGGGGCGCGCGGGGCTCACGAGGCACAGGGGGCTCACGGGGCACAGGGGGCTCACGGGGCACAGGGGGCTCACGGGGCGCTCGGGGCTCACCGGGCGCGCGGGGCTCACGGGGCGCGTGGGGGCTCACGGGGCACAGGGGGCTCACGGGGCGCGCGGGGCACAGGGGGCGCGCGGGGCTCACGGGGCGCGCGGGGCTCACGAGGCACAGGGGGCGCGCGGGGCACAGGGGGCGCGCGGGGCACAGGGGGCGCGCGGGGCTCACGGGGCGGGCGCGCGGGGCACAGGGGGCGCGCGGGGCTCACGGGGCGCGCGGGGCACAGGGGCTCGCGGGGCTCACGGGGCGCGCAGGGCACAGGGGGCTCGCGGGGCACAGGGGGCGCGCGGGGCTCACGGGGCGCGCAGGGCACAGGGGGCGCGCGGGGCACAGGGGGCTCACGGGGCGCGCGGGGCTCACGGGGCGCGCGGGGCTCACGGGGCGCGCGGGGCACAGGGGGCTCGCGAGGCACAGGGGGCGCGCGGGGCACAGGGGGCTCGCGGGGCGCGCGGGGCACGCGGGGCACACAGGGCACACCGCTCAGGGAAACGCCCCCCGGGACAGCCACGGTCAAGGGGCCCCGCCGGCCGCGGGGCGGAGGCTCGGCTGCTGGAAGGCACCGCCTCCCCGGCGGGGCTCCTGGGGACGGGCCAGCTGCGAGTCTGCCCCGGCGCCCGCGCCGCCTGCCCGTCCGGTGCCGGCCGCCGCTGCTCGCAAGGGAGGCGGGCTTCTCGCACCGCTCTGGCCCCCAGGTCGCCAAGGCCCGGCTCGGGTGCCGCGGGGAGGGGCCTCAGGCGGGATGGGGTCGGAGCGGCACCGGCAGCCCCTGGGGCCCCCCGAAAGTGGGGGTTCCCGGAAGTGCGGCGGAGGTCCGAGGGCGCGCGGCGGGGCAGAGGCTCGGGCCCGGGGGGGGGGGGGGCGCCCGGGGCTTCGGGCACCAACGTGCCACGGCCCTCCTCGCCTGGAGCCCCGGCGGCCCTGGGGGGCCCGGCCAGCGGGGAGGGAGGGGGGGCCGGCCAGCGGGGAGGGGGGGGGGCCCCGGCGGCCCTGGGGGGGGAGGGAGGGGGGCCCCGGCGACCCTGGGTCCCCGGCCAGCGCGGGGGGTTAGGAGGGGGGACCCCGGCGACCCTGGGTCCCCGGCCAGCGCGGGGGGTAGGAGGGGGGACCCCGGCGGCCCTGGGTCCCCGGCCAGCGCGGGGGGTAGGAGGGGGGACCCCGGCGACCCTGGGTCCCCGGCCAGCGCGCGGGGGGACCCGGCGGCTCGCGGAGGGCGCGCCCGGCCCTTCCCGGAAGCCGCTCTTTACCCCAGGCCGCGCCCGCCACACTTCGCGCTCGCGACCGCCCCCACGGCCCGAGCCCCGACACGGCCCGACACGGCCCCAGCGCCCGCACAGGACGGGCCGGCCCGCAGGACGCGGCGGCGGGACCCCGGGCGCGCTTCCTGCGCCTCAGTTTCCCCCGCCTCCTCACCAGGATGGCCTTGTCCTGCTCGGTGACCCGGCTCTGCTTCTTGCGGCCGAACAGGTTGCCCATGGCGGCCCCGCGCGGCCGGCCGAGCCCCCGCCGCCGCCGCCGCCGCCGCCGCTCCGCGGCCACCGTACCCGGCCCGCCCTACGGCGGCCGTGCGGGGCCCCGCGCCGCAGAACGCGAAGCGCACCCGGCAGCACCCGCGCGCCCGCCCCGGGTCCCCGCCCCGCGTCCCCGCCCCGCGTCCCCGCCCAGCGTCTCCGCCCCGCCCCGGGTCCCCGCCCCGCCGCCCCGCGCTGCCCCTCCGCCCCGCCGCCGCCCCGCCCCGCCGCCCCGCGCTGCCCCGCCCCGCCGCCCCGCGCTGCCCCGCCCCGCCGCCCCGCGCTGCCCCGCCCCGCCGCCCCGCGCTGCCCCGCCCCGCCCCGCCGCCCCGCGCTGCCCCGCCCCGCCGCCCCGCGCTGCCCCGCCCCGCCGCCTCGCGCTGCCCCGCCCCGCCCCGCCGCCCCGCCCCACTCCGCCCCGCCCCACTCCGCCCCGCCCCGCCCCGTCCCGCCGCCCCGCCCCGCCCCACCCCTCCGCCCCGCCCCGCCCCGCCCTCCGCCCCGCTGCCCCGCCCCGCTCCGCCGCCCCGCCCCACCCCGCCGCCCCGCCCCTCCCCGCCGCCCCGCCCCGCCCTCCGCCCCGCCCCGCCCTCCGCCCCGCCCCACCCCGCCGCCCCGCCCCGCCGCCCGCCCCGCCGCCCCGCCCCACCCCGCCGCCCCGCCCCGCCCCTCCGCCCTCCGCCCCGCCCCGCCCCGCCGCCCCGCCGCCCCGCCCCGCCGCCCCACCCCGCCGCCCCTCCCCGCCCCGCCCCTCCACCCCGCCGCCCCCGCCCCACTCCTCCGCCCCGCCCCACCGCCCCGCCCCACCCCGCCGCCCCGCCCCTCCGCCCCGCCCCGCCGCCCCGCCCCGCCCCGCTGCCCCGCCGCCGCCCCGTCCCGCGCTGCCCGGGGCGCTGACCACTGTTCCCGCCGATGCGGCCCGCGGGTGGCGTTGCGGTTCAGAACTCGAGTTTGACAACTGCAGGTGTTCGCTGGCCACCTGCCGCCGCCGGCGCGGGGTCGGGAGGGCCGGAGCCCCAGTCCCCCAAGCCCCCAAATCCCCAGCGCCCAGCTCCCCCCAGCCCCCAAATCCCGCAGCCCCCAATTCCCCAGCCCCTCAGCGCCCCAAATCTCCCAGACCCCCAGTTCACTCCCCAGCACCTCAAGTTCCCCAGACCTCAGTTCCCCCAGCACCCTCAGCCCCCCGCCAGCTCGGGGTCTGGAGGGCCGGCATCCCAGCCCCCCAGCTCCCCAGCCCTCCAGCCCCCCCAGCCCCTCAGCGCCCCAAATCCCCAAGCTCCCCAAATCCCCCATTCCCCCAGAACCCCAAGTGCCCCAGCTCCCCCAGCACCCCAAGTCCCCAGTCCCCCCAGCCCTCCCAGCAGCCCAAATCCCCGTCCCCCAAATTCCCTAGCCCCCCAGCTCCCCCAGTCTCCCAGCCCCTCAAGTGCCCCAGCCCCCCACCAGCCCAGGGTTGGGAGGGCTGGCGCAGCCCCCAGCTTCTCCCTGGCAGAAGCCTTTCTCCCTCGGGGGCCTGGCCAGGGGTACCAGGGACAGGACAGCTACTGGGATCCAGAGACGCGGCTGCGGGGGGGGGGGGGGGCTTCCCGGGAAGGGGTCCCTGCCTGGGATCCAAAGATGCGGCTGCGGGGGGGGGGGGCCTCCCGGGAAGGGGTCCCTGCCTGGGATCCAGAGACGCGGCTGCGGGGGGGGGGGGGGCCTCCCGGGAAGGGGTCCCTGCCTGGGATCCAGAGACGCGGCTGCGGGGGGGGGGGGGGTGGCTTCCCGGGAAGGGGTCCCTGCCTGGGATCCAGAGACGCGGCTGCGGGGGGGGGGGGGGGGGTGGGGCTTCCCGGGAAGGGGTCCCTGCCTGGGATCCAGAGACGCGGCTGCGGGGGGGGGGGGGGGGGGGGCTTCCCGGGAAGGGGTCCCTGCCCCACACCTCAGGATGATTGCGGTTGCTCTGCCACGCATCCAGTTGGTCACTCCAGGACGGGGTGCAGGCCCCAGGCAGGCTGTAAGGGCTCCCACCCCCGGGGGTCCAACGGGCCCAGGCTCCAGATGTCCTCCCAGCCCCATAAATCGGCTCTGGTCTCCAGGACCTGTGAAAGTCCACTTCCAGCCAGAGCTTGGTTCCCGGGCTGCTCGCGCATCTCCTCCCTCCCCCCCCCCCCCCATGGGCCCTGTGGGGTGGCCTGGCGGTCGCTCTCCGGCCCCACCTCCAGTCCAGGGCTTCCTGGAGGCCCAGGGCTTTGGGCCCGTCGCGTGACCATCACGGTATAACTTGAGAGGCCCCATCCAGTCCACCCTGGCAACCCAGACTGGCCACCAGACCTCAAGATTGATCTCTGTCCCTCAGGGCACACAGCACAGCAATGGGCTGCGTTCCCAGGGGTCCTGCAGGCTGCCCAGCGGCCCGCTGCAGGGCTTCTCCTGCCCGGACCCCCTGTCCACTGGAAGCCATGGAGCCCATGCCAGCCCGCATGCTTTGGCCTACGAAACTCAGCAGGGACTTGCCTCGTCCATGTGGTTCTCAGGCCCTAGTAAAGGGTGTGTCTTTGGGGCATGTGCAGGGCACTCTTGATGGAGCACTGAGGACGCCTCCAGTCTCACACTCACGACTCACAGGAGCCTGGAGCCCCGGCTTCGGCCCTCAGGTGAATGAGCCGGAGGTCAGGGCTCCAGCTACACCCGGGGAGGCCCAGCTGGGGTTCTATTTCAGCCTCCTCTGCCTAACACTCCAGAATCCACTTCCACACATGTTCCCAGGGCTCTGCCAGTATAGAGGTGACACATCTCGAAAGTCTTGTCTGTAAGCTAAGGTTTGGCAAACCACAGCTTGGAGCCTATTTTTTGTACAGCCCATGAGCTAAGAATGGTTTCTTTTAAAAGGAAATGCACACACACACACACACACACACACACACACACACACACACACACACAGCAAAAGATGAGAGGCAGGAGGGTGAGGAGAAGGAGGGGGCAGAGACCCGTATGTCAAAATTCAAAATTCATAAGAGGTTTTCTGTTTGTTGCTTTGCCTACTCCCCCCCTCCCCCCATCTCTTTTTTCTGGGCTGGAACCAGGGCTTGAACTCAGGGGCTTGTTCTCTTAGCTCATGGCTGGTGCTCTACCATTTGAGCCAGGCCTCTACCCTATGTTTTTCCTGGCTGCTTGAAGATGGTCGTCTTTCAGACTCTTCTGCCCCAGCTGGCTTTGATCCTTCCTGGATCCCCACTTCCTGAACAGCTAGCGTAGTAGGCGTGAGCCACGGCGCCCGCTTTCTGCCCTCCCTTTTGAGACAGGTTTTGCTACGCAGTCCAGGCTTGGAACTCATGATGCTCCTGCTTCAGGCTCCCTGGGGTTGAATTCCAGGCCTGTGCTACTACACCCAGCACTACTTAGTCTTTGCAGAAGTCCTCTGTGGCTGCTGTTCCCTGCTGTTCCCCTGTGTGCCGGGCTCCAGGACATGACGCTACCAACATCGGCTTGCAGAGTTCTTCTGGGGGGATCGGAAGCCCTCCGGCTGGCGGGAGGCAGCCAGTGACCGGGAGGGAGGTCCAAGCCCACTGGTCTGATGTGAGAGTGTGGTGTCCTGAGTTTGGGGTTCCATCTTCCTGAAGAAATCAACCAGGTGAGAGGCCTGCCAATGCTCTCGCCACACTCCCTCCCGCGTTCCAGCTGGTGACACCAGCCCTGCAGAGCCGAGAAGTAAGGCGCCTCCTACCCCCGGGGCTGCCCATCACCGGTCCCCAGTGCCCACGGCTACAGAGCTGGCGCGCCCTGGGCCCCCAGTCACCACCCCTGAGCTCTGAGAGCCCCACAGCCCTGCTCCTCCCCCTGCTGCCCTCTAGTGGTGCGCAGCATCAAGGGGCACATTATCAAAACCAGCTGCAGACTGGCTTTCTCCATGACCCCCAAGTTCTATCCTGGAGATGGAGCTCATCTCCTGGGACCACTCCTGGATAACGTTTCTGTACTGTCCACATCTAATGAGACAAACCGCATCGTCCAAATGGGCAGGAAAAGGTCACAAAGAATCAGTAACAAAAGCCGGGCGCCAGTGGCTCACACCTGTAATCCCAGCTACTCAGGAGGCTGAGATCTGAGGATAAGAGATAAGAGTCTGGGCTGGGAAGGTAGCTCAGTGGTAGAGCGCTTGCCTTGCATGCATGAGGCCCTGGGTTCGATTCCTTAGCACCACATAAGCAAAAAGAAAAAAAGCCGGAAGTGGCGCTGTGGCTCAAGTGGTAGAGCGCTAGCCTTGAGCTGAAGAGCTGAGGGACAGTGCCCAGGCCCAGAGTTCAGGCCCCACGACCGGATCCTCCCCCCCAAAAAGAGATAAGAGTCTCTTGAAATTTCCTGCATGCGCTGGCTCTGAACCGTGATCCACTGATCTCAGCCACCTGAGTAGCTAGGATGACAGGCGTGAGCCACCGTTGCCAGGCCCAGGGAGGGGGCAGGGGGCAGGGGGCTGGGGTGGGGGGCGGCTCCTGGGGCCCAGCTGCTGGCAGGGAGGTGCCCCCCACACCCGGCTCCAGTTTCCGGACAGCGCTGCTGCCCTCCTTGCTGCCTGGCTTGCAGAAGCATCACCCTGTCCCTGCCTCGATTTCCACCTGCCACTCTCTGTCGGTATCCAACCCCCAACTTTCATTAGGACACAACAGGTGGGATTCAGACCCACCCGACCCCAAGACCATTCACCCCGACTAAATACACCTACACGCTCCTCCGCGGAGACAGTCATTGTGAGCCACTGGGTTCTGACTTCAGCGTGAGCTCAGGACCAACACAGGCGGGCACGCCACGGGCACTGTGTTCTCGTGCCATCACTGGCTGCAGTCTGAGGCTTTCCTTTCCTCTCTCCCTTCTTTCTAGGGCCAGTACTGGGGCTTGAACCCAGGGCCTGGGCACTGTCCCTTAGCTTTTTCACTCAAGGCTAGCACTCTGACATTTGAGCCACAGTTCCATCCACTTCTGGCTTTCTGGTAGTAAGAATCTCACAGTAAGCCCGGCGCTGGCAGCTCATGCCTCCAATCCTAGCT